CTTCAAATCAATCAAGCATATAATCAATTATATGCACCTTATGTAGAGTTTCGAACAGTCATGTCTATTGCCGACAAATTACGTGAAGTTGGCATCTATGTAAGATTTTCATTGTCTCATACATGTTCAACTCAAGTTTAAAAAACAATTTAGAAGAGTTCTTTCGAGAAAAATTCCGCTGTGTTGAGAATATATTTTTCTACCATGAACACCTAGGTCGAGAAATCCGACCATCGAATCTTCTTGAATTCGATCGGATTTTAATCATTAGGCTTCAGTAGTTATTCTCTTTATGATTCACTACCATCTGTTAATTATACAATGAGTGTTAAGATTTTTCAAACAAATGATAAAAAATCCATTGTCTCCCGTTCCTATCACCTTATTGAGCAAACAAACGTGAGAGAAATTCAGATATACTTATTAAGTATAGTGCAAAGATATTAATAATGCGTAAACTATACCCTTACACCTATACCCCTACGCCTATACCCTTACGCCTACAACCCTATTCCTATACCGTTATACCTATACCCTTATACCTAGATCTTTACACCTATATCCTTATGCTTACACCCTTATACCTATATTCTTATTTCTATACCCTTATACCTATATTCTTATTTCTATACCCTTATACCTATATCCTTACACCTACACCCTTACAGCTGTACTCTTATATCTATACCATTATGCCTATATCCTAATAATTATATTCTTATCACTATAGCTTTCAATCGACAGTCCAGCCGTTATAACCTTAGTTCCGTGCATCTATGGATTCAGGTAAAAGTTTTGGCATTTGCTACAAATTCTTTTTTTTCTCTCTTATTATAAACTCTTGAATGTTCTAAGCAGGATATAAAATCTTTTGCAGCTAGATGAATAGTACCTCAGATACTCATAAGCCTTGCATTACCTTAAGGAAAGGCATATAGTTCATACTATAGAGAAGATTCTTTTCACATGACCGAAAAATAAATAGTACTGAAGACTCGCATGAAACCATGAAAAAAGGTGGGAAAGGAAGAAAATGAAATGAGGAAATAGTGGAAGAGTATAGTTGAATTAATTATGCCACAAGGTGAATTACATACCTGTAGTATACTTGTTGAAAGGTGTTCATCTCTAATTGGCTGTGTGTAAAAGGATGATTATTACTGATCATTGGTCTTTCATTTCAATGAAGTTTTTCTAACATTTTCGCATTTTCCAATTTTACTTTGAATACTTTTTGTTTTTGAGGAATGAGAAAAAATTTAAATTAAAAATATAAGCGTGTTGAAAAGAAACAATTGTTATGATGTGGAAGACACTCAATTTGAAATGGTGCTGAAGTTGGATGAGTTTGAAACTATGAAAGATTATAGTGTGTTATTAAGAGTGAAGGTCCTTCAGCCAATAGAAAATGGCTATAATAAGATGAAAATATAAATTACTGTATTGTTTAATGTTGGATTTATGGTAAAAACTTACTGTTGTAGATATTTCCTTATAAAAAAAGAAGTTTTATTGAATCACACAAAAAGAGCTTCTCTATAGTACCAGCTATATATATTCCCTAGCCATAGTGATAGAGTTTTAAAAATTTAGGATATTTTTCATGTGATTGCAAAATATTTTATGTCGTATTTAGAGCTTTTTCAGATCTGTAATAAAAGAGAAGAAGACATTTTTTTAGCAAGTACCTAAACTTTTGTCCCACTCTGTAAGTAACATGAGAGAACATCAACCTTCAGTCGAAAAGAAAAAGAATAAAGAAAAGAAGCTTCCCATGTAATTAATAAGTGATAGAGAATAACTGTTGCCAAATAAATTTGCTGCCTTAGACGAAGCACACGAGTACAAATAACAGGAGCATACCATAATGAAAAGAGACTACTGATCATTATTCTATACATTGATACAATCAAAATATTATGATGTGAGAAATTCTTTTTGTCTAAATAACTCTTGCTCGTGTACATTACTCATATCGAAAGTATTTGATGCCTATTTATTTATTCATTACTAATTGAGCGCTCAAGTTATGCACTCAGTTAAATGTCTATAATAATAATCTCGTGCAACACTCTAATCGATTTGGTGTTTTCATTCTTATTGCAGTAGTGAGATAAATATTAAGTATGAAAAATCATCCAATTTTATTTGGAAAATGGTGTTGTGGTAATCATTTTGTAATAATATTCTTTCACTCTGCTCATTCATTAGCATGTCTGACCTCATTTTTTTCGTTAGAGTCTGAAAAGCATTCAATTACAAATAAATTTATATACAGAAAATATTTTTCACTGCAACCTGACGACTAACTTCTCGGAACTTGATGGAACTGACTGGATTCTGACAAATGATTCCCCAGGTCAAAGATTTCTGCGACCCAGAATCCGATCCGGATTTTATCAGAAACTGACGAATACCGATAGGATCCAGTCAGAACCTACTCGGATCCAGTCGGATTTCATGTCAGATTCCGGGTTGCGGGATTCTCGGTTACTTTCGATAGGATCCTGTCGACATTAAGACCATCCGGCAGGATCCAATAGCTTAGCTTCGTCTTAGGTCCTATTGGATCCATTCGTCGAATTTCATTGGAATTCAGTATTCGGAATGCATCGGAAATTATAGGAATCAATTGAGATCTAATCGGATTCCCACAATCTAAATTCTACCAGATTCAATCATCGGACTTCATCGGATTGAGATAAATTTGACAGAATCCGATGGTTCACTTTCGAACTGGGCAGATTTATTTCTTTAGAGCTTAGAATACTTTATTTTTCTCATCATGTATACAACAAGAAGTTAAAGAATAAATCAAAGAAGAAACGACTTATTTGATTGTCGAATTTTACGAGTTTAAAACTGATGAAAATCCAAAAGTTGAAAAGTACATTCTATTACAATACAAAATTTTTGTTCTTTTCGATATAATCCAAAATGAATAATCACAATCAAGCACCAGAAACGACACAGCAAAATCACGAGTAATCATCGTCAGCTCTGCTTTATCCTGTGGTGCGTCCTCTCGAAATTGGTAGCAACTGTCACATCTAATACATTATGAAGCCTTTCGAGACAATACGGTGGTTATGCCGAAGTCTTGGATAGTCAGCACAAAGGAAAAAAGCTTGAATAAAACACTGATCCGATATCGACTGAAAAACGAGCTGGTTTAATTGCACGTCATTTTCAATCCCAGATAACACTTTATTTTCACTGCTCAACATCTATTTCATTATTTTTTTTCTCTTAGGTCGGTTCTCATTGGACTAGATTACCTTGGAGATGGTTCATACCAAATCGTGCTTTATTCAGCGACGTTATGCGCTTCATTGTCTTATATGAATTAGGCGGTATATATATTGATGTCGATACTTTGTTACTTCGAGATTTGCAACCATTTTTTCCGTACGAATGTGCCTATCGCTGGTCCATATTAGAGGCATTTAATACAGCAGTTCTTCGTCTCTTTCCTAAATCGCATATCAGTTCCACTATTATCAATCGTGCTCGTCAGACCAAATCGTCGTACGAATTCTTCCCATCATCCTTACATCAGAAGCATTCATTGCCAGTCAATTTTTATCGTTTACCAAGTGCTTTTTTCGATCCAATATGGTTCGCTGTCGACGGAGGAGATCAATCAAGTCGACAAGAGTGGAAACTGAGTAGTGGCTCTGTAATAGCTTTTAAAGATCCACTGCAACAACGAAGTGAAATCAGCCGTCGAGGACGAACCGTATTGGACGGAGCGTTTACGTATCATTGGCATGCATCGAGCACATCTAATATATTCGAACCGGGATCGTATCTTCACCAATGGGGTGAATTTTTGAACAATCAAATTGTTGATGCATAAATTCTTCTATGTATCTAGTCAATGTAAAAAGTCAGTGTTCACGATTGCACATCGCTATTCGAGCCATTGGTCAAAAAGAGTCTACAGTTGTTTTTACATCGGATTTCAAGTATTTTTCTCTAGATTCTGTGAAAGACAATTATGAACTAACATGGAAGAATAGAGCGACCGTGTCGGAATTCTCTTTCTCTACAACTCGATCTCTATTGGTAACTCTTGCTTGGACAGTCACGATGATGCGCTGAGCAGAGTATTAAACAAACCTAGGGTGTGGGTGAACGTGTGTGTCCAGTGTGGGTGTCGGGATGTGAGGTGTGTGGCGATGAGTGTGGATGTGGCGTGTGGGTATGTGTTGGTGTACATGCCATTCTGGTTATGACTATGCGTTCTGATGTAGTGAATGTCGGTTAAGGAAGTGGCTATGGATCCTTTCTTCAAGGGCATCAATTCTCACCCACACCCTATGATGATTCGTGCAAAGGGAAACTGGAGGCAATACTTACTTTTCAAGAAGATTCGGCAGTCAAACAGAGAATAAATATAGACTGAGAGATTTGAAAAAATGAAGAGTCATCAGATATTGCACTAGACACTTGGGGAAAATCTTTGAGCCAGATTAGAGCCGGACCCGCATATCAGCATCGGGTTCGCTGGTATCGTCGGATCAAATAATCACGACCATAAACTCTCGTAAAGAACCGTCATTTACAGCTTGAATAGTGAACCTATTATAGACATATATCATCGTTCCTAAACTGTTACAAATGACTCTATACTTTAAATGTTTGGTCGTCTAGGACACGACACTGTATGGCCACTATCAAAACGGCATGTCATAGCTTTATGATCTGAGTTAGTTGTCTTCAAATGTTTATGATGATTGTAACCATCATCATGGGTGCCGGTTCAGCTCGATATAAAAACATTGTATTGAGCCATTACAGATCGTTCTTTCATCCGTATACAGCTGCAACTGAGACAGCAAAGTCATTTTCAAATGTATGAGAATTTTCAATCTTTCTGTTTATCCAAGCTTCTATGATTAAAATAGGTAAAAGTTCGCTCGAGAACATCTGATTGGCTTCTACTTCTGACAATTTACTCAAAAATAATAGCATTTGTCCATGTAAATAGCAGGTAACTTAACGGTATTCTATCGGTGTGAGATCTGCTGGATTGATCGGTAGTTTCATTAATATTCGCCAGTATTTCGTCAGTATAGGTTTCAACTTTGCCAGCAGGTTCGGTCTAGTAGGGCTTTTTCGTTACTATTTCCACATATTAGTGAAGCTCTCTTGGGGTATGTCTTCTAACAAAGGTAGGGCACAAAAATGGGATCATTTTGACAGCTTGCAACTTTGATATTACTCTGATGGAAGCATGAAACTTGCTTGAGAGTAGCACAACTTTTGCTCTATAAGTTAGGATCTCTTCTCTACAACTTTCAAATCATCGTTCTCAACCATTCTCCAGAAATCCCGGAAAGGAAGGGGGAGTGCCATGATAGAAGATGGATCGAATAGTACTTGCTGGCTTCGACTATTTGTGAATGACTTGTATTTCTGACTTTTAGATGTATGTGTTGTTAATTATTTCTCTCGTCGAAGCGAATAAAAGACTAGAGAATAGCCGATCCGCCGTTAATATATCAAGTTGAATGAAATTTCTTATCATCTTGACTTAGGAAAGAGTGGTAAATAAAGAGATTATATAAAGTTGATAAGAATCACACATTTTCTTTCCAATTTAAGTGATATTATCTACATTGAAAATGTTTGTTCTCTGTTTATAAATGATAACCGAAAAAAATCCCATGCATATTTGCGGGAGTGGGTCTGGGTGTGAGTCTTCTAATCACACCCACACGCATTATGTTTGAATCAGCTAAAGTTAGTCATTTATTTGACTCAAAATAATTTTTGATAAAAATAAAATCTTTTGATTGATAATCATTTTGCTGAATCTGACACAAATGAACATACATGGAGGGCATTCATAAATAAAGCCCGATCTAGATTTGGTTTTTATAGTCACCTCATCTTCAATCTGATTTTGACAATTCCTGCTCTCCTCTAGATGATTGTGGTTAATTTTCTTTCAGAAAATACCTTAGTTTCTGTTCGATTTCATCGAATTCTAATATATTCAACCACACTTTGACTCCTCTTTCGGACAGTTAGACTTTAGCTAACATTAGATTCATATATAAATTTAACAGTATAGGACTCCACTATGGAATACGTTCAAAATGCTGTTAAAATGTATTTAAAATCAAAATTTTTCGAAAATCCAAGAAGAAACAAGTTACTAGCATCCATAAGTACATAACAGTTAAAATCTTCATTCCATTATTTCTTTTGTCAGATGTTCTCTATTGCTTCATTTGACTAATCTGCCACTTCGAGACAAATTTTTTCTCGTTTTGTATTTCATATATCGTTGCATTGTAGAACATATGGCATTGCTTTTCACACCTTGGTCCCAAAAAAGAACTTGAAATTTGTTTGAAGATTGCCATCCGTAACATCGTTATAAAAATTTACAATACGTTTTCGTGTATCTTCTCTCTCATAATTAGTCATTTTATCGAAGAGTGAAGTCAAACTTATCGAGTTCATGCTTTTAGTAGAGAAAGATAAGATCTTTCAAATAAAAAAAAATTAACACTTCTAAGCTTTAGAAAGGTGGAGGGTGTGGGATGTCGGGTGTGGGTGTGAGTGTGAGTGTGAATGTGCTTGCAGGTTATTCTGTTTCGATCACCAAAACCTACATCCACATGCACACGCACACCTAGACCCACAACCACACCCACATTCCACACCCCGCCCACACCCACACCCCACGCCCCACCCACACTCATACCTACACCCACACTCACACCCCGCCCACACCACACACCCCACACCCCACGCCCCACCCACACTCATACTCACACCCACACTCACACCCACACCCAACCCATACCCACACCCACATCTACGCCCACACCTTAATTATTGAAAAGAGTGGGAAATAAAACAAATAAATTTGTTGACTCCATGATTAATATTGACAGGTAAAAAGATTTTTATAAATATATATTTTAATTCTAATCAGAGAGTTTTGGAAATTGTTCTTATTTCCAATATAATTGAACAGAATTTTTAATCAATTAAAATTTTTTGAAATGTCTATGAGAAGAATAATGATTAATAGTTGAGAAAATAAATAAAAAAATAAAGTAAATATTTAATAGCAAAGAGTTTCTTCGATATTTGATTAACATTTAGGTTTTTTTATTCGATAATTAGTCTGAATATAACGGGTGGGACGAGTTAAATAGCCACGTTTTGCATTTTAATTTTCAATCACTTAATATGTTGCATTAGAAAAACAAAATATACGACAAGATACAGCGTGAAAAGTTCTACAATTTACACAAGACTGTTTTTTTATAGAGTGTGGGTGTGGATAGAGAGAAAATCGACACCTACACTCACATCCACACCCACACACCCTCATACTCACATCCACATCCACACCCACACACCTTCATATTCACATCCATACTCACACCCGCATCCACACCCACATCCCACTTTAAACTGAGTTTCATTCTATTTTTGAGAAATTCTTTAACAGTTAGATGAGATGTAATATTAATTGATGCCTCTTGAAATGCATTGACACAATTCAGATATGTATTGGTGTCACACAGAATATGAATAATCGTGAACGTCATACCATCACTCACTCTATTTGCACATGATCTTTTATCGGGCTTCACGCGTCATTCATCATCTATTTATATACGTTTGATTTTCTTTTTTTTAAGTTATTTTTCATTCCAACAATAATGTCATTCAAAATTTCAATTTATCAATGATTCATCCGTAAGAAGCAGTCAGGTGAGTGCTAAATCAACAGAAGCAAAACATCAATTGCTCGCACCCCACTCCATCCACATACTGTTTCTCTTACCTCAAATAAATCGATGCTTGCTTCCTCTTACATAGTTAGAAATTATTCTTTTTGCGTTTAGGAGAGAACTTCTCATTATGAATTGACTATAAGGATTTCTTTAAAGTCAATATTGAGCATAACTATTTCTCAAAATGTCCTTGTCCTTTCTCGGGTAATTTAGGTAGATTTGCATCGAATGAAGATTTCGGTTCTTCAAAATAAAATGCCGTAAGACCTATATTCATTCTCCTTTTAACACTTGTTCTTTATTTTTCGTTAGTAAGACGTCGATTTCTTCATTGACTCACAAAAGATTCAGAATGATGAATCATTAGCTGTTAAGAAAAGGTTACGACAACTGTTTATTGCGACTTATAAAATTGAAAACTGTTGAGTTTGTTGAATCAAAGATTGATACTGCAGACAATGTCTATTACATTGACTTTTCATATTTGACAGTAGAGTTGTATTGAGTTAGTATGATTCTTGAAAGACTTTTGTAATTCCTTAAAATTCAGCCTTCGTCAGCTTCAATGGCATCCACGTTAACTTTTCATCAGTGTCTACTTGAAGATCGTTCTGTTTTATCAGTAGTGTGAATGTTGATTAGTATAACCATATAATTACATTTGTCTTCAAGATATCAACTTTCTCTTTTCATCATTCTGTTGTTTGCTCATGCAATGACGCAAATGTAGTATGACCTTCGGCAGAGGCAAAAAAGAAACGAATTCGAGGCTGATAGCTGTTGCTGATCATAAACATATGATCATGATATTCTGTCTAATCTGATGAAAAACTATCGATTAAATTGAATAGCAATCTTTCTGTTCTTCTTAAACTCGAATTGATTGAATATCACGAACGAATCGATTTCTAATTCTAGACATAGAATAAAGTTGACAAATAAAACTTCAGTATGGCGAATGCATACAATAACAACGAAGAGACTGATGATAGCTTATCAGACAATATGCATAATGTGACATGTGATGGATGCAATTCGGCGAAAATCTACAGTGATCGATACAGATGTTTGCAGTGTATTGACTATGATC